CTTATCAGGATTAAACCGCCTATGCTTGACTTCGTTGGATCTTTGAATGAAATATCCTTAAACTACACTATTTAATAATCACACACAGCCTGTACCTAAACAATATGCTAAATATCACATACATGATAGATAAGCTCATTGACCCAATATAACTATAAAACAAATAAATTCAATCCATCCATCAAGAATTTATTTAATTCAAATGTGATTAAATTTTACATGTAATGTAACACACATTAATATAATATTGATACTAGGAATTGATTTATTCATAAAGTAAAAAAATATTAGAACAAAACATACCTATTTTCCAATGTATTTGAAATGGAATATACCGTTTTACCTTGATATAACTTTGTGACCATGTAACAAATAAAATTTATCTAAACTGTGCTCATTAAAACCGCCAAGGTAATTTTCTCATAAGGATTCTGTATTGAATCCATGTTGTATGTATTTTAAACAACTCTTAATTGTCGTCATTCGTCTTCTTTCGAGGAAAAAATAATAACTATAAAAGCCTACCCATCATTATAATGATCACTGTGGCCAGACCTTGGTTTCCTTAATATCACTTCGAATAAGAAAACTATTATTTGAGGAGCTGGCGAACGAAACGGTATAATTACGCACAGACCCGTCTTTCCCAGTGGGCACTTTGGGAAAGTGCCCAGGGCCCCGTGATCGATAGGTGGGCACCTCAGATCAAAAATACAAAGTCCCTAGTTCTTGTTAGATCATCAAACGGGGGTCATAGGGGCCCCAATATCCTAATATGCCCAGGGCCTCCAATAGGTCAAAGACGGCACTGTATACACATATGGTCAAACTACTTTTTTACAATCCGGAAGCTTCGGGCCCGCAATAATTTTCAATCAAAATCGTCTAAAACAGAGTTAAAATTACTAGATTTATAAATTAAAAAACCATGCCAAAAGCTCACTGTAGGTATGTCATTTAGTATTATACAGCTCCTGTAAAATTTCATTTTATGTAATTTTACCGTTTTGTTCGCCAGTTCCTCATTTGGTAAATTTAGGACAAATTAAGTATTGTTTAATACGTGCTCTATGAAGGAGTGTTTCTGCGTTCCTTGTAACTAAGTAATAGGGATGATTACGGGGTAAAGTAAAGGAAATTCTACTCTTATTTAGCCCAATTATTTTTTCTTTTTCAATCAAACAAAAAATGACAAAGGTGAAGCGCGCAAATTGTACTAAGACGTGACGTCATGCAACATTTCAAACAAATGTTTCTCAGTAATGCTTTGTTTATGTGAAAAAAAGAAAAAAACGTGTACAAACCTTTTGTATAATCTGCCTGATAGACGAAGAAAAAAAAGTTAAGTGGACTGTTAAGTAATCATCATCCCTATACAACAATTTAAATAAAATATGGTACAAATTATGATGCTTGCTTATGACTCACTTGATTGAAATAATGGGGGTAAAACGATTATGTATAAGGAAGGGAATAAAAGCAAAACTAAAGTTGTACGTATTAGGTGTAACATATTTTTCAAGAATAAGTTATATGCATAAGTTAACATAAGCATGGATAGGATAAGTTACAAATCTTTATAATCATAAATAGAATCCTATTCGATTACCTATTTCTCCAAACGTTCGTCATTGGAAAACTGGCTTTACTCGTTTTAATGGAAGCACAAAGGTTAAAGTTAGGCACAAGAATAATAAAAATAATTTTAAGAAATAATTTATAGTCCTAGTAGTGACCTATTTAAATATTTCAGTTACAAAAACAATTCCAATAATACCAATGTTGCGCATAATGCACCTTTGTCAGAAGAAGTCATTCTTCCATAAAATGCGAGTTGTAGCGCTAGTTAATTTAATCTTTATTTATTTATTGTACATGTGGTATAAGTGTGTGTTTATATATATATATATATATATATATATATATATATATATATATATATATATATATATATATATATATATATGTATATATCATCTGGATTTAAATACATGAGTATTGGGTATGATGAATGACAAAACCAAAAAAAACATATAGTATTTACTCATAATACTCCATAATTAGTTACCGTACTTCGATCAAGTTTGTGAAAGAAATGTTAAGCTACACAGGGTCTCCCATGACAAACATGGAAACATTGTCCCTAACAGAAACAGCAGCAGATGAAAATGGGAGTCACCTAGAAGTAGAGACTAGATGCGCCTATCCTATGCTTCGAGGCCATTTTTAGGCTAACTCGGTATGAATGTGATCAATGCAATACGAATAGAACAATGATTAGTTACTAAAGAAAAAGCTTGACTCCTGGTACTAACAGAAACTCTTCGTAGTATGAACTAAACCTTAAAAACTGTCTTTTTATTTAAAGAAATTGTAATAAAATATTCACAATGTTACATTCAAATTTACTGTGGGACACGTCGGTAGCTAGGTACGTAACGCTACAAACATTATTCTACGTTTACTCCAACAAACAAAAAAACATTCATTAATAAAACTCATTCAGTTGGATAAGTACATCCTCTAAATTATAATTTCAAGATATAATAGCATTGATCGTTCATATTACTTATCGTGGTTTTAGTAATGTTTACATTGTCCTAAATCAACTCGGCGCGGCGCGTCTTTATTAATAATATTCATTACTTAAATGTTCATTGCGATGAACATAATATCATTAATGAATCATTAAACACTTATCTTTGAAGATTTTTCAATTGTAATGAATCTAATTAAACGGTGGTGTTGCGTGTTGCGTAAAATCGGAAGTAGGCAAAATGAGCGCGGGTCTTACCGTGATTGTTGATAAGGAGGTTATGCCACTGCGCCATCGCATCACTCCGCGTTATACAACTCCACTAAACTGTACTTGCTACCTTCTTTCTAGTACCATTGTATAATTCCATTAGTATTTTTTGTTTCGCTACTTTGCAAAAACACACTGATAAGTTCATATTTCAGTTTTGTTTGGTTAAGTTTTGTTTAGTTCATTGGTTTCATAATTAATATACATAAATTGCAAAAACTTGCAAACTTCTTAGGATCCTATTTTTTCAAGGCTTTTCTCATGGGCGAGGTGAATAAAATTAACATTTCATGAGGATTTAAGTTGAGAATGTAGATTTATAGAGCTAATGATTCCATAAAATATAGTGGTAAAATTTTTGTTCTACGACAAATATTGACGAAGTTATGACCAACATTATACATGTAACTTAAATTAGTTCTAATAAATGTATTTTCGGCCGCCGGTGAATATTGGCTACCATAAAATTAGTTATAAAAGCGCAACGAATAAACGAAATAAACTGATTTCGATGATTTAAAAAGTATATTAATAAAAAAAGCTTATTAGATCATTATACTGTTGATTTTTGATTTGATTTGCTGACCTAGTAATGAACTTCATTGCGTTTAATTATTGTGTATTAATGGTCATTGCAGTCACTTCTACCTAGCTTTGCCTCCGCGTCCGTTTTGATTTCTGTTATCGAAAGTAGAGTAAAAATTACTACTAAAAGGTCATATAATAAAATCACAATCAAAGTCACAAGAAATGTGAACGGAAAATACATTAAAACTAAGCTAATCAATATGAGGTCACTTAAAGCTAAATATGTTTGTGAAGTAGGAAAATCAATCATTTTTCCTGAGATTCTAAGTTGAAACAACGATTAAATACAATTAATTAAATATATACAATAAAGAAAATAATTACTAATTTGACAAAATATTAGGTATAACGAAATGTTACTTGAGAAGCAAATTACAATTTATTTAGGACATTTTCTGCATAGTAATGGCTAGAATACTTTAAAAGGATCAGTCAATTCTGAAGGCAACTGTCCTTCGTTAGGTTTACATTCTACGTGCGATTTCCCCAATATTTGTCACGTCGCTCATACGAAACAAACTTCATTACCACTTGACATTATAGAGAAACTGCAATGTGCAACTTACCTGCATCTTTTCCGTAAATCCCGCTCTGCTATCTGCTACTTTTACTTTCTTTGCACCGAGTGTTCCCAACGATTGACCCGGATCTCGGAATTATGTTTTCTAAAGTATTTCACGACTGGTGCGGTGAAGCGTTTAAGCCAGCGACTTGGTGGCGAATGCTGCTATGCCGTAACCTCTTACTTAACTCAGGCGATCCCCCCTTAGGCTCCGTTGCAACCAAGCTGTGCTGGGGTCATATTCGCGTTGCGGATTTGTTCCGTTTATGTTTTAACACGCAGAGACGGATACAAAATTAACTCAGTTTCGTCATAAATATCAGTGATCGTCTCAAACAACAAATTATGTTAATCGTGTCAAACAACGGGTAGATATTTATTATTTAAACAAACGACGATTGGTAAACAAATCTTTATTTAGGTAGTCACTCGATATTTAGAACAATATTTGTAGTTCCAGATACATATTAATGAGATTGATATACTTATAAACAAGATTGTGTAGCAAAATAAATGTACAAGGAAATAATTTATCTCTCCTTTAATAAGAAAATCACAACCACAACCTATTAAAACTTGTAAATTTATTTATTTTAAGACACACATTTAGAATAATCGAACTTGTTGACTCCTTTTTTTTTAAATTTAGTTTTCATGACTTTCAATAAAACTAGTTGTACATAAAAGTTTGAAAATACGACATTTAATTTAGCTTTTTCGTACTTTGAGTGGTAATTTTAGAGCGAACTCATCGTCTGAACTAAGAAAATGAAAAATAGAAGTATTCAATAGAAACATGAGAGTCGCACGAATATATAGAAATGCCGAGAGTGGTTTTTCTTTTCTTGTTTAGATATTGAACTAAATTTCTGATACAAAATAGGACCCTACTTACAAAAGCTTACAAAACATTCAAATTATTTTAGACAAAGCAATTATAATCTGCGTTCCAATCTAATATAATCGGAATTACAAAATTCGTGAAGCTATTGTGAACTGCTAAGGGCCTCAGTCGTGGTGTGTTCTTCATCCGTACTGGCGGACTATCTTGGCCCATTCCCACGGGTAGTTCCTCTGGATGAATGCTAGGGTGCGCCGGATGTGGCGGGTCTCTTGGGGAGAGCACTGGGGGCACGCTCCACGAAGAACTAGGGGAGCTAAAGCTGTAAAAAAGGGAATAAATATTAATAAATAAATATTCTAACATGCCCACGAATTAGCCTAGCCCCAAAGTAAGCACTGTAAGGCTTGTATTATGGCATACTAGAATACATAATTCCCTTTAACATGGGCATTTTGTATCTTCTATTAGCATAAAATACATTGAGGCTGATTCTGGCTTGTATCTGTATACTCAAAACTAAATTTGATATTCTACAGGTGTAGTGTACTGATACTGGCATGATTTTCTAATTTTATGATTTTTTAAACTAAATTTAACGTCAGTCTTTCCCTTTCATTCTGTATAGAGGATATACTGTTGTCAAATTGAAGGTTAGGTAAAGAGAAACATGCCAGAATCGATACCTAGTGGTATCCTACAAATATTATGAATGTGTATGTGTATGTTTGTTACATAAATCACGCAAAAACTACTGAACGGATTTATCTGAATTATACAGTATAAGTATACAGTTTATGACCGGATTGAGACTTTTTATTCCTAAACTAAAGTTAACACGGACGAAGTCGCGAGCGGCCGCTAGTCAGTCTATAATTTTCATTCAAAGATTTATATTGAAAATTCGCCTGAAATCACCACGAGATTAGGAAATTGAGTCGAAGTTTTTGTGTTGAAATCTGAACACCTCTCAATTTCTTATTACTTTGTGTCCCGTACAAATCCGCAAAGACGCACGGGTTTCTAATTAAATTTGAAGGTCTTCATCCGTCGTTGACAACTACTTTTGGATCTTGCTCAGAGAGTTAATAATGTCTTTCTTTAGTTCGACATATTATTTATTGTAAAATATTTCAAAAACTATCAATAACTTGTCAAATTTATTAACCAATAGAACATAATAATTGGTACAAGGTGTAATATAATTCGGTAACAAATCTATTTAATAAGTAGTTAAATGCCAATATTGACGCTTGATGAGAATTGACAAGCTATAATTAAATTGGATGCGTACTAGACAGATTAATTTAAACATAATTAAGGGTATTTTCATTGTTCTCAAAAGTAATAAACTACTTAGCTAAGATAGAGATTGTACCTGACTGAGTAGATTACATAGATTACATTATTATTAGTACATAACATTATTTAGCAGTTTTCACGGGTATCCATTGACGTATAATGCTGGTATCCCATCTTTTTAAGACTACGTACCCAAAGGGTGACAATGATTACTAAATCCTATGTACATATAAAGCTCCGTTGCATATACGTCTGTCTCCTAGCAGTTTGCAACTCATGAACCGCATTTTGTAGGCAGTTGAACACAGAAAGTGCTACTCTATCCTGACGTCTCTGTATAATATAGGTAGAAATAACAGCCCTTGCTGAGTTTCTTGCTACTTCTTTTTACATAAGGTTTTTCCAAATCGAAATCACTTCTTGCAGCTTCGATGTACGTTATCAACATTAGAATTTTTAAAAAGTTAATATAGCAAGAAGTTTGGAAAAACTACCAAAAAGGGAAAATTCTATAACGAGGTAGGGCATAACGTATTTCCCGCTCAAATAGAAACGCCCGTCTAAGGCAGTAATCTCCCTCTTACAGAAGATCACACTAAAATAACACTCTCTTTTGGTGGTGTTGTGTTTCAGTCGGTAATTAATGTTCCAGGGCTCCACCGGGTAGGGGATTGGGTCAGGGTAGACAACGGTGCGAGTGAGATATTATATGTACGTACGTATTGCAAGCGTCTACAGGCCATGGTGGCCGCTTACCTAAGGTGAGCTATACGCTATTGCCACGCTATTAATATAAAAAAATACTTACTTCTCAATCTTCTTCCGACTGGATCGCAGGGTCCTTCTTGAAGGGCGCACCTGAGGTGTCGTTGCATCGTGTTCCTGTCAGATAGGATGCGCTCCAGTTGAGCATCCGTCATCTGAGGCGCTGGAAAAGCGGAAACTGCTAGTGTGCATAGCACAGCCAATATCACGAAGTTCTGTAAGTAAATAAATATATTTTACTCTCAAACCAGTTACTCTTTTTTGTGACGTAGGCAAAACCTCTATTTACAGATGACGGCGCCTTTAAGAGGCACACCGCCGAACGGACCTCATACCTGGCTTCCGCAAGTCTTACGAGCCCCCGCAGTGGCTGTCCACTAAGGACCCCGTAACTCTTATGGGCGCTTCACGGCATAATATCCGCTAAAAACCCTGCGAATACCCTCTAAAGTGCTTAAACCGCGGGATCCCCGTTTAGGGATTCTTCCGCGTTACCGAACCAGTTACCCTAGCTCCAAAGTATGACTGGAGGTTTGTGTTATAGGTAGGTACTACTAATACAAGTGATCCACATATAAGTAAGTATATTTTTTACAGAAATCCAAATAAACAACAATGACTCAGGTATGTTCCTGTTGATAATACAAACATTTGCTTATACGGCGGCGGACCATTTGTGTCATGTTGGTGGGACTAGGGGTAATAGCCGTAGAGTATGCGACACTTTGAAAACCGGTGAACATACCACTCCACCACGGAGGTCGAAAATAAAATACCTAGTTCTTGAAATATTTGTGAAAGAATTAAGATTTTAATCAGTTTTAAAAAAAAGTTATCTTTGTATTATTTTACCTTCAGGTTTACTTTTAAATTTAATGTAGTAAATGAAAAAGGTAATTAATTTATTTGCACGACCGAATAGGTATTTTGTTAAGAGTTTGTTATTTTGAGCAAATAGCGTAAAGTCTTTACTATTAGACATCAACGCGTGCGTATTTAACGATTGTTTATATCAATAGAATAAACGTATCGCATTTATGTTATAGGTATTCTTTATCCCCTTATTAATAAACGAAGACTACGCTTGGATTAGTAACTCCATGTTTTGTCTCTGTCTATTGAATGACAAATGGCAGTTGAGTCATAAGAACAAAACACGGCATAAGTAGTCTAAACTTATTCCTTGTTTATTAACAAGAGGGATTAAGTTTAAATCGATCCTTAAAGATGATGAATTCTCACAATAATACCAAACTTTATGATTAATGAGTATGTACTTAATTTTGACCAGTAATTTAATAAAAAAAATGTTTTACTATTACTCAATAATCTACACCCAAATTCGAATAGCTACATATTTACAAACTGAGTTTTTTTTTCCAAAAATTAACTTTTTAATTCTGAATTAATAAATACATAAGCAGAAGTACCTACTTATATCAGGGACCTGTATTACAATTTTATTATATGTAAATTAAATATTTATATAAAAATATATATTCTGTTCATATGCTTATATTAATTTTGAAGATTTGGTTGATTGATTGTTGGAGATCTTAATATTGTTGGTGACAAAATATACACACACACATAAAATACAATTGCGTACGTTCTCCCTTCAGTCAATATTTTTAATGGCGCGTGTAAGCTTATGACGATTATTTATTCCTTATCTTCGTCGGGATGACAAAATCAAGAGACACCAAATGAAACCAGTTTAAGAGACAAAGCGGTTGTTAAGTCAACATACATTGAAGGTCACTGTTTACGCGCTTTCCTCATTTCTCAATAAACCACCAATGTCCAAATCGCAACTCTGTTTTAGGTTAAAGTTACATGTTGTAGACAACAAAAAAGTCTCAATGCAACAAAAAAAACTAAATACATCACATCACGTCGATTACAAAACGAGAAACTAAAAATAACACCACAGCACCGCAACACTAAAAGATCGAACTAAAGAGAAAGAGAGATATTAAAAAATTCACACGTGATTTTTTTTTTAACTTCATTCGATCTCCAGGGTAGTTTTTTATCTAAATATAGATTTCTCAAACTGTAAATTTATTTAACAATAAAAAATATAATCCGTTTTATTGTTCAAAATATTGCGTTTCTTATTTACGTCTACAAAAGTATTTGAAGCTAAAATAAAATGCCTTAAGGTAGAAACACGTTTTAAAATTTACCTGCATCACTGACTCCACAGCACTAAGCACTTGAACGTGTAAAATATCAATAACAATCATACGCCTTAAAGCCGTAAAATTTGGGTGTCCCGTCGACGAATAGGGACCGACTGGGCCAATGATCCAATCATCATATTAGCCATGCCGGGAATGCTCCCCCCTTTGTGAGGTGATTACTATTGAGGGCTCCTTAACGATAAGGCATTAGGACTGATTTCGTCCCGCACCTCTCATGACGTTAAGTGATACTAATGGACGACTATTATACGCAATTACAATTGATGACACATAAAAAAGTGACATTATACTGTGTAGGGAGAAAGCTCTTCTTGGAATTCTCAATAGATTAATGTAAGTATAATAAAATAAGCGTTAGTTTTTTTGTAAACACCACGTGATTTAAATGTATGTACTTTCTTATATATAACTAAGTACTTTCTTCGAAGAATTGGTAATACCGGTATTCATAACCGGCAAAATGCGAGGACTCGCACACGAAGGGTTCCGTACTATTATAAATAAAAACAAATAAATAAATAACTAATGGCAAAATAAACACGTTTGTTGTATGGGACTCTTAAAAATATTAATTTTGTTGTTCTGATTTCATATATGTTATTATAGCAGCAACAGAATCATCTGTGAAAATTTCAACTGTCTATCACGGTTAATGTGTCGGACAGTGGAATCTTAGTAATAGGGTCCCGTTTTTAAAAATGTCATTCCAAAGAAATGGCAAGCCGCACTAGGCACTTAAGTACCTATATCTATATAAGTAGTAAAAATATATTCAATATTTGAAGAATTCGCTATATTGAAATATAATTATAGTCAAAATCACGAAAACTTATATTAAGTAGGTACTCTACTCCAGATCTAGGAATGTTTAAAGTGTGGTAGATACCTTACTCTGTTCATTATTTTCAAAAAAGAATGCAGGAACATAAGTAAAAAACTTTAAGTTAAATAAAAATAAATATTTTAACATAAGAAAATACATCACTTTCTTATGTGTGTTACGTATACCTATCTAAGTAGGTAGGTACCTGATTATTTTAAAAGTTATACTTACTTTAATAGGAACTAGGTAATTACAATATTAAATAAAAAATAAAAATAGTACCCAGCTTAAATTAACTTATTGTTAATTAATAATATTAATGTGATGAAAGTTGACATCAACACATGTTTTCAATTTATGATATCATCTTTCAATTGACGAAACTGGATGAAACAAAACAGGGTGAAAAAAATTGCCCTTACTGAGTTTTTGAGGCTATTCAAATTCAAAATATCTTAATTCAAATAGGAATCATTATGCAATTCTTCTGAATCGTCCATATTGATTGTTATCCCTAGGGCTGCCATCCGTCCGGGTTTCCCCGGATTTGTCCTAGTTTAAGGGGCGTCCGGGGAGCGTCCGGGCGGGGTTTTATTTGTAGTCCGGGTTTAAAAAATTACGGCAACGCATGAGTGGCCCTTGGTGCTGCAAGTGTCCATGGGCAGCAGTGACCACTTATTATGAGGTAGACCGCTTAAAAAAAGTTGATTTGTGACAATTTCAACTGTTTTTTTTATTGGTCTGTCCGGGTTCTGGGCTTCAAAATCCGGGGTTATCACGCGTCTTATCCTGGTTGCCACATTTTAGAGATGGCAGCCCTAGTTATCCCCTACCACTCGTTAAGCTGTGGAGAAAAAAGGGACAAAAAATACTTCACAGTCTTCAATTCTCGTAACAATATTTACAAAATATATGTGGCGCATATGCTTTTCTGCCAGTCTTATAACATAATAAAATTTTATTCCTAAATTTATACCTACTCAGCACCAGCCAAAGAACTTACTCAGAGTTTAGTGATTGACTTTCAACGCTCTTTAGGTAAGTAACCCTTGCACTTCACGTATCTACATTTTATTTTTCACTGGAAATGTTTTTGCACTTTATTTTGAACACATTGCCAGCCAACTAGCGCCTAGCGTTCCTCTCGCCATGCCCAGATGCAGCGTTTATATTTTTGGTTAGTATTAAAACCCTGTATACGTGCCAGCTACTTACTTTCTCATGCAGATGGAATTTTAATAATCACTAAGCATATGCAAAAACCAGTGATGGCAACTCGGACTCGAAACGGGCATTTAAATACAAATTAAAGTTGGGAACAAAAAATTATAGAGTGATGTTATTTTTATGGGAATTGCTTTTAATTTTTTTTTAGTGGCAGAGGATAAGTATCAAAGTTCCGTTGCCATCGTTAGGGTACAAAACACGGAAACTCTAATAACATACGAAAAAATATTGGTTAGTTTCTAGTGTAATTCATTGAGATCACATTAATTAACAAAGGAGCAAAATTAGTTAATTCTTAACGAATTCTACATTTATCCACCGTATTTCATGTCGCTGCTGATGTTTTTGTTCATTTTTTCCAACTGAACGTGTAGAGTATAGAGTAGGTATTGATTTTAGTTTAGTTTAGAATTAATAATATATATTTGACTAAATGTTTACAAAACTTACGCTCAAGCACTCTATATATTTTTGAAATACCCGCGTTTTGCATCTCTACCGTTCTCTTTCTAAAAAGCAGTGCTATGACACCACAGATTCAAAATAATTTCCATAGCATGATTTCAAGTGAGTTTGTTAGAGTGAGATGGTGCTTTACATTGATTAACAGGTAAAAGTGAGAGCAGAGATCAAGAAACTTGGCAGTTCACTACGTTTGTTATCTGTGCTCTGTATCTGCGCTTGGTACGGATGGATTGGCCAACCAACTGTACTGTGGAGTGCAGTAGAGTGGAAACGAATTCACACAGCTGTGACCTTTGTTAAATTTAACTGTGATAATGCGGTTAATTTAGGCATAATTATGTTTTTCTATATAAAATAATGATAAAAAGAACGTTTTTGTGAAGTATAACACCTTAATCAGGTGTATTTATTAAATTTAACAGTGCAAAAACTCCTAATTATCCAGTTGTCATTCAGTCATATGTTGCTAATTAGTGATGTCAATGTTTGTTTACTAATGATACTTCTTTCGGTGATTTAAAAATCGTGTCTGCAAAGTTTTCGTTATGAATATTTCGGATTCAGTGGGAGAATCAACATCGAAACGACAAGAAAATGGCGACGCTTCGTCTAGTAATGAGCGTCCACTCAAAAAAGCTCGTTTTGCATGGCAAGTTAAAGGAAAATATCACCTGAAAAATGAAACTAGTGACACAAGTTTAGCCACAACGACCATGAGTAACGAAACAGATAGAGCTGGGCCGTCTTCAGAAATTAAAGACGGTTCTAATAGCTTTGTTGGTAATGCTGAACAAAATCTAGAGATATTGGGAGATTATCTACTAAAACAAGATTTCAACACCTTAGATTCCGTCATTACTGATCCTGACAAATCTCTGCTCACACCAAGTACAAGGATAAGTACAGATACACTACAGTATCCCCAATATGTATCCTCATTTGACAATAACAGATGTAGTTCTACCTTTGTTACAAAGAGTGAAAGTGAATCTGTAGTAATACCGATGTCCATGGTAGTTACCAACAGCTACAGTGAAGACCAATGTATAGCACGTTGGCAAGCAAGACAGGTAAATTTCTCATAATACTAATTTTGTTTTATTTAATAACTTAATAGTTGGGGCTTACACATTAGTGGTTTTCTTACTGAGGCTATCTTAAACTCGCCGAATCCCTAGCCCAGAAATATTGAAAAATAATATACGTCTCTATCATCTCAGAACTTTTGGTTCCTAATGAAATTTAGAAGAGTTACTTATTTTGAGATCAAATCAATGAATGGGATGATGTCTCATTAATAACTGTTCCATGAATTTTTTGCTATAACTGTGTAAAAACAACTTTGTTATTTAAGTAATTATCTTTGTTTCCAGATGGCTAAAGGTTTTGTGGACAATATGATTAATCGTGTACTGGACTCATGGACACACCCACCTTTACCACCTGATGTAGACAAATCAAGATTGGTAGCTTTAGATGCTGCAGAATTTGTCAATAATATACCTACAGGGTACTCTCGACGACGATTAAACGACTCCATTGAGAATGAAGGAATTCTAATGGCTATCTCAGCACATGGCTTACAAAACACTTCTAACTCCACCAACAATGATATAAGTGAGGATAGAGAGCAAAACTTGGATACATTAAATAATGATGACAAAGCATTTTTATCAGCACCAAATAGTCCAGTGCATTCTGATGATGAAATCCTGAATATAGTACCAAATGAAACTATAGACACTGGTGAATCTCCACTATCAGATTTTTTCTGGCCTTGTGAAGAAATGCATAAGGACAACGAAATGGATCCACTTTTATTATTTCCAGACTCTTCCAATATTCAATATTTTACAGCCAGTAGTGACATACATCACTCAAGTGCAGAATTTGATGCAGACAATAATGTAACAAGTTCACACTATGATTTTATGGATGCAGCTGTTTCATTCGCTATACAGAACAAGGGGTTGACTACCTTTGGGACAGACTATGGTTAATTTTTAACCATAATTATAATTTCCTGCAAACAATGCATTTTGTTTTGAATGTTTACAAATACTATATTCTCAAAGTCTATTCATTACTTATAGAACTTCTGGCAACATATAATAATTATGTAATTGAATTTATTTCAATATATTTTTTATTGAAATAAATAATCACTGTATAAAGTAGTATAAAGTAGTATATCCTACTTCAAGTAAATTAAACTTTTTGTTGCTTTTAATGTTCCCTAAATGTTTCATGCCCCTTTTAAGCCGAGACGAGTACAGCGACTGCGACGCAATACGACGGCGCAGTACAAGCAGAAACGCCTGCAGTGCGGCCACCAACATGGTGTTTTATATGAGTTGTTTTTAACTAAATTGCCGTCGCGTCGAAGTCGCCGTACCAGTGCTGTCTCAGTCTTAGGGTCAGTATGTACTCACAAAGGGTGTATAAGTGACATTTTAGCAAACAGTACTTATTATTTAAAGGATAGACATTTAACAGGTTTATCATGTCTTTCCATGACCCTGGTTTA